TATGTCTGTGCACAGAGCGAAGACATTCCCTGTAGGATCCACTGTTGGGAAAATAGCCACACAGAATGTAAGCAGCATGATTTTATGTGCTGGGAATTCAAGGAGAACAAAAGCAGAGGGGAGAAAAGAAAGGCAGCTGAGCACCAGAAGCGATTTTCTGTGTCCTCGCCCACTGTGATGTGAATTGTTCTGCTTCCTGACTCACTCCGTCTCTGCCGCAGTTTACTTAGCCATCTGACACTAGGAGTCAATAATAAGTCTTTCCTCTTTCTGGCATCTCTTTTGAGGAATTTGATCACAATGATGAGAAAAAGAGACAGGGAAGAAGTGATCTAGGCTTTGAAACGCCTGCCCTAGTGTTGTCTTGGGTGACGGGTATCCACATATTCCATAGCAACACTTTTGACTGCAGAATTTCTCACAGACAGTAAGAACCTAAGGCTGCTGTCCTCTCTACTTCTCCACAGAGATAATCGATGTAAACATTCTCATAGTAAATAAATTGCTCTCGTTTTGATGTAAGAAGCTGTGAGTACTAGGAGAGTTACAGAACTTCTTTGTCATGTGATTCTTAGCAGGGCACTTGGTCTATCAACTGATGCCTATGATACAGCTAATGTTACAAGTCATGAAGGGGAAAACTCTTGGAGTCACAAATTAGGTGAGACCTAAGAGTAGATAGACACTGAGCAGTAACTCATATTTACGAAAGGTTGCATTATGAGTGGCCACCCAAACTCCTGTCTTTGCAGTGTTGCTGTTGATTGTTTTTAGCATGCATTGGGGTAGTTGGATGTTTTCTTTTCCCTGTGATGAATCCTGGATAGAGACTTATTGGTCTTTGTGGTTCCAGAGCTACATATATTAAGAAGAACTGTTGCATAAGAAAAAATAAAATATTTTAAATTTCTAGTTATATAGGCATATTACATATTGCTTCAGATCTAGATTCCAAGGACACATGCACAAGGCTGGAGGAACCTAAGATTGTTTGAGGCCATTCTAGGATATAAGGTGAAACACACACACAAACACGCACAAAGAGAGAGAGAGAGAGAGAGATAAAGAGAACAACATGTGGTGATCTAACAAATAAAGCTTACCTGAAGATCAGAGTGTGGAGCTAGCCACTAGTTAGCTGTGGGAGATAGTGGGAGGATAAGGATGGTGGAGGAGCAGGGAAATGATGCAAATTCAATGCTTGTGAAAGAATTTTTTTAAAAAAATGAGCCATAATCTCAAAAAGAATTCACCATGTTCATTATAATTTATCCTTTTACCCACTTTTCTCCAAATTGCTGAATTCTAGCTCGGCAGTTGTGTCTGTGCTGTGCATTCCCTGTGCTTAGAGTCATAAGTTTTTGTGATGTATTTTGTTTTTCAGTTTTGCATGTTTTCAAGTCTCATTACGTTTTCAACTTCTCACTGTGATACAAACTGAAGTTGAATGATTTTATAAAACACCATCCCTAATATCAAAACACTCCTTTTAAAAATAAATGATACCTTTCTACCTATTTTTAGCTCTAATATTGAGAAAAGAAAGAACAAGTGGGGAAAGAGAATGAATTGTCTACCACACATGTAAGAATTTGGACAAAAGGAATGAATTGATCTAAAACAACATGATATTAAATAGAAATTTTAGCACATAGTTATATGGTATGCTGAATGAAGAAAATATAATATAAGGTAAGGTATATTTTTCTGAATATTTTTACATATACTCCAAATTCTCTAATATATGAAGAGTATCATATCAAATAACATAGATGGATAAGGAATACATATGTGAAGATTATAACTTTCTATAAGCAAGTAATAGAGAACTGGAACACAGATTAAGAAAAAAAACTAAAGAGCTTGTGTACAGAATTACAAGGGCATGTGAGACATCTCTAGTGGTGAAAATATCATGCAAGCTTGTCTACCTGAATCAGTGCCCTGAGCCTAAATGGAAAGAGAGGATCTACTCCACAATGTTGTCTTCTGAACTACACAGGAACTTGGCAATGCTCTCCGCAAACCCCAACCATAAACACTGTATACATATGAACACATTGATAATAACAGGATTTTAAAAATTAATAAATTCAAAGAACAATTCTCCAGCATATATAAGAAGTTGTAGATGTTTACTTAAAAGCCACAAAAGAATAAATGACATAGACACAAAATGTTCCTCCTTCAATTTAATTTGAGGTATTTGTGGTCTGAAAATCTATGGAAAAATAATTAAAATGCTGGCTTCAACTGTTGACAGTTAATACCTATTGAAAAAGTCTGAGATAATTTAATTACTGTGCTTGATATTCTCTAAGATTTTAACATTAAATATTTTAAGGTATGCTCTAAATTAGTCATTAAATAGTAACCGATGTTGCTTATAGAGAACACATGTCTATTTCATAAAATAGGAAGTTCTCATCACATATAACCCAGTAGCTCTGTAAAGGTAATCTTATAATAGCTACATCCAGTGTATGCTTTAGCTCAAAATATATTTATTAAATGACCAAATGTACACGGAATGTATATATATATATTCCTTGGTTAAAAATTGAATGATTGGCAGTTTAGCACATCTGGCTATACAGAACCCAAATACGACCTTGAGATACTCAGCTGCATAAGGTGACTAATAAATCGAGGTACTCTGTTTTACCCAACTTGCATATTTTTTCAAGCTGGTTCTTGAAGGAAATGACCACACAGTATTCTATGAATTGAAGTAATTTCTGAGGTTCTAACACTAATCTTGTAAAAACAAATCAATCTTCTCAAATGCATTTGAACTTCAGTATCCTGTAACTATCTTGACTCATAATACTTTTAACAAGTCCATTAGAGATGTGCAATGATGTATATATTGTAATAAGGATTTAAACTAATAAGGTCACACATTTCTAATGTTAAAAATAGTACTAATTTTAAAATAGTTTGCTGCTTTTTTATTTACTTATTTATTTCTTCATTCATTCATTCATTCATTTTTTTTTTAATTCAGAGTGCCAGCCATGTGGAAGCCAGAGGAAAGTCCTTTATCCTCATCATATGTTACTGTTTCATTCAACATATAAAACTACCTGGCAAAATAACTGTGCAATATTTTGTCATATTGTTATGGGTAATGTCATTCCTCTTGTCCCAATTTTGCCTCCTACTGTTTATCCAATATCTGTTTTTGTAATCCCAAATCAATAAATAGATGGACTGATATCAGTTATTTTCACAAAGTATATTTAAATTAGGTCTGTGTTTTATAAAGTTATTTAACTGTACTTTGTAGCACAGTTCAGATTTTGAAGAAAACCAGCTTAGTAGACATTTGATGAATTCAAATTTTTCTCTGTTCACTTGTAAATTAATATAAATTAATTGTATGTGGAAATCTCAAAGCAGTGAATTATTAGAAAAACCTTACTTTGATTTATTACTGCAATTCTCATATTAGTTTTAAACAGAGGAGACACATGAGTCACTGCCGTGAACTGTCCACTCTAGAGGCTGATTTTCCACCCCCTTCAATATTACCCAGCACTCCATGAACACTTGAATTAGTCTACCTTGCCAGGACTTGGCCCTGTGACATGAAACTGTTTAGTTAATACGAGTGGAAGAACAGGAAATGGCTATTTTTATTTGGAAGAAATATAAGTTTGGATTATTTTACAGTTAGATAATTAAGGGAATTAACTGTTTTCATGTGCATTTGAGAAGTGCACACTTTAATTTATTAAATTTAAGTGTACATTACAGTTGTTAGTGCAAAATGACAAACTCCTGTTATATCACAGCAATGTGGGGGCTAACATAATGAAATCAAATCTGCTCCAAACCCACAATACAGAGATTAGAGTAGGAATTCTGTTGGTAGAGTGCTTGTTTGACACGAGCTAGGTCAATCTCTTCTGTACAGAGTTTATTTCCAGTCTAGGCTAGAGAGTTCATCTTAAAACCCCAACTAAAATTTAAAGGGGCAATGTTAGCGCCCTGTGGTCAGTTTCAGTGATTATTCTAAATATGGTTTTGTTTATTCATTTTGTTTATTTCATAGAAAAAGCCACTTGAATCATAAAATTTAGCACTCATAATTCCGGCTACCTCCTGAACTTCAAAGGGCATTTTTAAATCTCTTTCAAATATACTGTAATAGTAAGAATGTGGTCCGAGTATTGGCTCCCCTTATTAATACTCTTAAATCAAAACTGGCCCGCTAGTTTTGACCTTCTCTTGATATAAATCAATTATATCTCTAAGAAAATATGGACCATGTTGTTATTATTGTTGCTTTGTTTTGTTTTGGGGGATACAGTTATTGAAATATTACAAGTATATGAAAAAAAAGTAGAAATAAACACAACATGTTTTATACTTAGATCTAACAAATTTGTTTTGTGGGGCATTTCTACTTAAGATTTTAGTGACTAAATAAAGCAAAATTTAGACAAAAGTTCTTGCCTTGAAAATCAAACTTTTACTATCTTCCATAGACGTCATTATCATCCTTTAAAAAAATGTGTAATTTAATACTTTTATTTCATATGTATGTAAAAATTCATACAATAATTACTAGGTATTATAAAAATGATTTTAATTTAAAATATATTTGAATATTATATTTACCCCATGAAAGAGGCATATGGTCCTTACTCTTAAGAACAAGAAAATTTTCATGGCCGTTGTCTTTTCAGTGTTGAAATCACCATTTGCAGACATTGTTTTCAACACCTTTATCTTAAAGCCATATATTTTATATCTGACCGCGTTGGAAAACACAGATCACATTTTACTTTCAAAGATTAGTCTTATATTTCCTCAGAGTGGCAAACAGAACAAATGGAAACTCTGGTATCAGAAAGAATTATTCGTCCTTCTTTATGTTGCACTCTGCTAAAAATTAAATCAGTATGCAAAGTAGAAATTATTGGCATTAATATTTAGCAGAGCAACCTTTAAATATGGATGATAAATGGCAACTGCATATTTTAAAACTTATGATGGATAAACAGGTTGGTACCTGTTCTGAATTGGAAATAATGCTACGGTCCTCCTTCTCTAGAATGCGTCAGTCAAGGTGAGTGTGAAGCGTTTGTATCTTCCTTGTTGCTGTAAAACATATTCAGGAAGACAGTGGTGTACCCAATTGGTGTGAGCCTCTTTGGTGTGAGCTACAGGCTCTTATGTCAATGCAATCCACACGAATTCACTTTGGTCCTCTCTAATTACAGAGAGATATATTCTGTGTCTTGAAGTGAGAAAAACAGGTGTGAACTGGGTCAGCGAATGAGCACATAACGTTAGAACAACTCTTGTGAAACACAGGTCTCTAATGGCAAGTTTGATCTTGGGGCAATGGGTAGTGGCTTGGCCACTTGGTGTCACCGTTCATTTCCCTAGATCTATTAAGCAACTTATAGTCAGAGCACTATGAAGTCATTTTTTTTTCCTATACAATCAGTATGGAGTCTTATTCATTTTCTCCCAATGCTACCCTACCAACCACACACATTTAAAGCAGAAAACTGCCTATGTATACTTTTTTTTTTTATATTCAGCACTTATTTTATATTTTTGCTGTTTGCAGATATTACAGTGTGGAATGTCAGAAAGTTGGGAGCATGGGGGTGGGGGTAAAGATGAGGGTGGGGTTGGAAGAAGGGAAAGACTGGGGAGAGCTTGGGGAACTGGGAGGGTGGAGATGGAAGAAGGGCAGATATAGGAGCAGGGAAGAAGATATCTACATTAAGGGATCCATTTTAGGGTTGGCAAGAGACTTGGCGCTAGAGGGGATCCCAGGTGTCCACGGGGTTATCCCCAGTTAAGTCTATGGGCAGCAGAGGAGAGGGTGCCTGAACTGGCCTTGCCCCACTGATGATTATTTCGAATATCACCATAGAATCTTTCTCCGGGGACGGATGGAGATAGAGACAGAGACCCTCATCAGAGCAAGGCCTGAGCTCCCAAGGTCCAGTTGAAGAGCAGGAGTGAGAAGATGAGCAAGGAAGTCAGAACCACGAGGGGTTGGTCCACATGCTGAGTCAGTGTGCTTGTTCTAACGGGAGCTCACCAAATCCAGTTGGACATGAAGGAGCATGTGATCAAACCGGACTCTCTGATTGTGGCTGACAATGGGGGCTGACTGAGAAGCCATTGATAAAGGCACTGGGACTTGTTTTTACTGCATGTACTGGCTTTTTGGGACCCTACTCTATTTGGATGCACAGCTTCCTAGGTCTGGATGTAAGGGGGGGAGGGCCTTGGACTTCCCACAGAGCAGGGTTCCCTGCAGTCTCTCAAGTAGGGAGGGGATGAGAGGAGAGGGAGTGAGGAAGTGGGAGGGGAATGGGAGGAGGGTAGGAAGTGTAAAATTTTGAATGGAAAAATAAAAAAAATGTCCATAGAAATTAAATAATCCTACTTCTCATTCTGACAATGCTAGATTATTAGATAAACCCAAGATATCCCAAAGCTTGGAAAAGGACATTTGTAACAGATTTTTCTCTAAGGCCACACTAAATGGCAAAACTAACTAACTAA